TCTCGGGTTGCAGGCCTTAAGATTTAGGGGTTTAGGGTTTCGGGTTTAGGGTTTAGGGCTTTCAGGTTTTAATGGTTTAAGTCTTCAGGGTTTTGGGGGTAGTCTTGATACTCCATGCCTCATTTGCGTGTAAAGGGGTGTCGAGGTTGCGGTTCCTTTCCCGCAACCACCTGCAGGCCAAGACACGGAAGCCTAAGCCCGAAAAGCCTTTGTTTGCACTGCAGCTGCCCCAGAAGCTTCTTTGCACACCCTTGGGTGTCCTGGACCCTACATAGATCCTAACGCCTAGGGAACCTCAAGATGCCCCAAGCCAGAAACCTGACCTAAAACTATAAAAGTTATAAGCCTTAAAGCGTAGGGACCCTAAAGACCAAAAACCTGACAAGCCCACCTCCTGCTGTGCAGGATCGAAAATGGGGTCAGAAGCTGACCTGGGATTGCACTCTGGCGAAAATGTGGGTCTTATAGCCTGTAGGTCAGAAGGGGCCCCCACCCTGTAATAGTGGTATAACAGGAATATTCGGCCCTAATATAATCCTTATAGTCACTATTACAGGATGGGGGCAGCTTGCAACCTATAAGTTATAGGCTCTGAATGCGTAACAGCTTCGGAACAGGAAGCGCTTTGGTTGTCAAAGGTCCGTGTTTGGCGTGCGGTTCACCGGCCTGCATCTGTCACATCCTTACCCTAAGCCTCAATATAGCCCAAAAGCCTTAGAAAGTATGGTCTTTGGGCCCAAAAGCCTTAAAATATGAGTTTACGACCACCAGAAGTGCGAAGATTTCGGGTGAAGCAATACTAGCCGCAGCAGAGGTAAAACCACAGTGATGCTCGCGATCGTTAAACCTTGAGCCCGACCCTCAGCCCCATAAACCCTAAGCCCTAATCCCTTGAACCCTGCTAGAGGGGAGGGGCCTTACTAATTACTTATATATATATATATATATATTATTATTCACAGGGTTCCTTACTATATACTTGTAATTACTGCCAAAGGAGCCCGAAACCCTATTCTAATTCTATTAAGGTACGCCCTAGGGACCCGCGGTCCTACCCCAGGCAAGTTCTTTGAGGAGATCGAGTTGCTGCCAAAGCACCTCGGCTTACGCTTTGGCGCCTCGAAGGCGTCATTCAGCTTTAGGGTTTCTGGGCTTAGTAAATTTGGGAACCCTAAACCCTAAACCCCTAAATGCCCAAACCCTAAACCCCCAAACCCTCCTAAACCCTGCGTTCAGAGCTTGGATTTTCGGGTTTCTTGTATCCTCAAACCCTACAAAATGGTAGGCTATGACCCCTTCATTAGAAGGTAGAACCCTTTAAACAGTAGGTTTTCGGATCCCAAGGTACTAGCTGTAATACCCCTTAATTAAGGAATATTCCTTAACTCATATTAGGGATCCTACTATAAATGGAGTCTCTGGGTTTGGAGATTCGGACCCAGAGTCTTGAGCTTAGGTCCTCGGGTGAAGGGTACCGAAACTCCGATTTTGTCTTCGTTCGGGCTTGGGGCTAATCCTTGTAGTAGAGTAGGTAACATTTAAGCTTTTTAGGGTAGTATAGTCCCTATATAATCCATATATAACCGAAAAGGTTGACCGACAAGTAGGTAATGTAGCTAGTAACAGCTAGTAGAAGGTTTTAGGGTTTAGGGGTAGTACTATCCTCTTCTAGAGCATAAACTCCACCAATGAATCCAACCATGTACCCGTGCTTACGAAGTCGGCGAGTTTGGGACTACTATGACTATGACATTATGAAGATACTTGCTCTTAAGTTGGAGTCTCCCTGGGGCTCCACATCGACAGCTTCGAACGTCGATGTCCCGTGTGCACTTGGCGATTTTGGACTCAGAGTCTATGCCCTCCCTCTGAAAATTGGACCGCACGGACTGCGACCTCAGACAAGGGCTAGGGTGTAGGGTGTACCTGCGTGTGTGTGTGTGTGTGTGTGTGTGTGTGTGTGTGTGTGTGTGTGTGTGTGTGTGTGTGTGTGTGTGTGTGTGTGTGTGTGTGTGTGTGTGTTTGTGTGTGTGTGTGTTTGTGTGTGTGTGTGTAGGTTTCAGGGTTCAGGCGTAGGGTTTGGGACTGATTATCCACCTTGAAGTCCTTGAAGGTTGGCGGGTAGTAGAAGATGTAGTCTCACATTTCTTCGTGAGAAGTGCTATACTTACTGTTGCCTCCCCCCTGTGCATGTAAGACCCACGAAACATCAAGCAAACTGATACCTAACAACAGACGGGACACCCTACCATTACCACTCACTATATAACACTGCAACAACTAATACAACAACTACTACGTTCTACCACCACCACCACCACCACAACCACCACTACTACCACTATCACTACCCACTGCCACTCACTACCACTACGACTACGACCCAGACTCGACTACGACGCTACGACTACGACGACGACGACGACGACTGCTACTACTAGTACTACGACCAGGCACTCTTGTTATTACTATGCTGCTCTTACCTCGAGGACGAGGACGGCAAAGGCGAGGATGGCGACGACGATTGTTCCCACGACTACTACGAAAGAAGGTGTCCAGGGTTTAAGGACCGCTCCGACAGTCCGCCCTAAACCCTAGAACCTAAAGCCTAAACCCAGTTTCACCATTCAGCACGCAAGGTCACATAACAAGGACAGTGTGGAGAAGCTCCTGTCAAGCCCTTGGCGCTCAGAGTTTTCAGTTGACGGTCTAGAGTTCAGGGTTCATCCTCGGGGATCAGGTTCGGAGCTGAGGCGGATGCTGGGGTCTGGGCAGCGACTTGAAGCCACTTTCTGCCAGCTGACGGTCTGAGGATCGGTTTCTTCCGATACTACACGGAAGAGTTCGACTGGACCGATGGGTAAGGTTTACGGTGGTTTCTGGTTGTGGCTGTAGGGTTTATTCCCAGGCCTTCCAACATCCGTTGATTAAGAATCTACGATAAATTAGAGTAGGATCCCAAAAGGACTCTTTTTCTTAATGTACCAGCTACACTGAAATATACCGGCAAACCTTGTGCTATCTACGCAGGCCAATACATTAAGTTGCCTGGAGATGGCCTGGACCTTAGTCGGCAAGTTTTCCCCGACATTCAGAGACCTCAACTTCGATCGTTGATCCCTAGGACCTACAGCCCTAAAGCCCTAAGCTCCACGAACCCCTTCACCCTAACAGGGGTTGGAGAACCATGAAATGGCAGGATATGGTATAACATGGTAGAGTAGGGCAGCATACATAGGGTAGGGGAAAGATAGGATGGGGGCGGCTTAGGGGCCTCGCAGGAAGACTGCAACACGTGGGTGTTCGCCAGCCTGCGATCAGTACTTACTCCGGCATAGTCTAAGTTTGTCAAGCAAGGGCTGCAAAAGCCAGTAAAGTAAGAAGATGATTGCGGCGTTCGGTGGAAAGCTTTACATGTACGAGTGCGACTGGAAGCTCGCAAAGCGCCGCATCATGGAGGAAGGCCTCTTTCAGATACAGCAAACCTATTGCTTGCGTGTTGAAACTTCTGCTGGGCGGTATGATCGGCTGAAGACAACCAACAACTAGGATGCCCAGTAGTACCCTTATTCCCTTTTTGTAGTCCTAGGTTCCTTATAAAGTTACCCAATACCAAAAAGAGAGGCCTTTTTATTCTTAGGTTACTGGGTATCCTAGACAACCAACAAGGTTTTTTCGGATGTTTGGGGGTCTAGGTTTAGTTTCTCGAGGGTTTAAACCCTTCTCAGCTCCTGGACTTGATGCCCAGAGTCCATCATCTCCCGTCGTGGTGTACATCAGCCCCTTGTTGCGTTCCCTACTTCGGACCTAGAGACTCCAATGCTCCTCAATTAAGGAATGTACCTATTATAACTTATAAGGTATATTCCTGTATTAAGGGATATTGGAGTCTCTGGAGATTCTGCGGGTTCCTGAAATGAACTTTGGGCTCCCATTAAAGCACTCTCTACCCAGAGACTCCGATATCCTTAAATTGAGGAGTATACCTTAAGTTAGAGTAAGATCCCCAGTATGATTTAACGTACTATCCTTAGTTGAGGGATATCGGAGTCTCTGGGAGGTGTCTGAGGTTCCTTTTGGGTTCCTGTGTCCTTCTGCCTTTGTAGGGTTGCAGACGGCTCCTCAGCTCTACCTGTAGTCTCCATTGTAGTTCCTTTTTTTGGTTATCCAATTTTATGGTTAGGACCCTATAAGAGGAATTTTGGCTAACCAAAAGAAGGAACTACAATGAAGACTCTAGGTACTACCTCCGGGCTCCGCTTAGCCAAAACTATGGGAAGCTGGTTTAGCGTTTGGGGCTCTACAACCCTAAACCCTACTCCCTGCACCCCTAAGCGCTAAGCCCTAAACCCCCCAGTGAGGCATAGTTGTCCAGGGTTTTTGAATGATGAGTAAGCTAGTATTATTTGACAGCCACCTGCTCGGTCTGATCCAAAATCCTCGCAAGCCGTACCCGAATCTTCAGTCTAGTTTGAAAATCTTGGGGTTTAAAAGTTTGATAAGTTTGAGGTCTCAGAGTGAAGAGTTTACGAGACTTAGGGCCTAGGTCGAAAAGTGTAAGTGTTAAAGGGTTGAGGGTCCAGGGTAGCCTACCACTTGCACCCTAAGCCGTAAGCTCCAGCCCTGAGCCCTGAACCTCAATTCTAAAGGGAACTCCAGAAAGTTGGAATATGGATCAATGGTAGGATCCCTTATAATTTACCTTAAAAGGGGTTACGATAATGATATTCCAACTTTCTGGCTTCTACTCTAAATCCGTCAGCCGATCTAAGCCCTGCTTTGACCCTATGAAACCTACCAGCTTCGGGTTCCCTTATTTTAGATTTCCTTTTATAAGTCCATACGAAGATAGGTTATTTGGTGCTAAGGTAGACCCTAAACCCTACTTGGGACTTTCCGAAAATAGGGGACTTGAATACCCTAAATAGTAGGATCCTTATTAGAAGGACCCCAAATAAGGGTACCCCACCCCCATTTTCGGAAACTCCCCAATCCCGCAGGAGCACGCGAGCCGTGTCGGTTCGCCTCGCCCGGGTCCTCGTCAGAGTGTTGGGGCATAGCACCGGTGCAGAGTTTAGGGGGTTTGGGGTTTAGGGGTTTTAGGGTTTAGGGGCTTAGGGTTTACGAGTTTAGGGTTTAGGGGTTTGGGGTTTCGGGTTTAGGGGTATGGGGTTTAGGGTTTAGTGTCCAGTGCAGGGTTTAGAGTTTAGTAGAATAATCATAGGTGCCCATACTGCAGACACTATATTACAGACCCGAAAAAAGCGTACTCTAAACTACCATCTTTATAACGTTCTATTATAAGTTTGTACCCCGCGACGATCCTTGCAAGTTGCTTAGGAGATTTCCAGGGGGGTTGTGGTCTTCTGCACCCTAAGCCCTATTCTACGCCAACCTGACGCAAGAGCCCTTTCAAAGGCCAGTTTTGTGTTGGAGAACTAATGTGCTCCCAGCTGGCGTTGTCTCTTGCATGATATGGGGTCATAACTTTCAATGGTAGCTCCTTGTAGTCAGTATATAGCAGAATATACCCCAAAAACCCTCATCTAATTGTCCAGGCCGCACGTCGTGTGAAGTGCGGTTTGGATTGTTCTAGATTCGGGTGAGGTAGGTGTATATAAGGCTGCTTCGGGATATTGGAGAATATCTGCTCAGTGTGCTACTAGGGAAGACTGCTCCTAATATGCCCTGCGGTGGTTGTCGAAAATTAGGGTCCCTTTTTGGGTCCCTATTTTGATGCGGCACCTATTATTTAGGGTACCCAAAAAGGGACCCTAATTTTTACAAGGAGCCTTAAAGAGGCAAGTATTTTCGGGTACAGGTAGGGCTTAAGACTTTCCGTTTTGAAGGGTTGTGCAGTCTGCGCAGATCTCTTCAGGAAGACTCGGTGTCCAACGGTCAAATTTGACATCCTAACATTCGGGCCATGAAAGCAAGGGATGTGATAATCAGAGATTTACATCAGGTGCGTGGATCAGGTGGTACCAACCACCGACCCTCTCACGAGTCTGATAAGCTAGGTACATCTTCATTTGGGTGATTGTCAAAATTAGGGTCCCTTTTTGGGTCCCTAATATTTAGGGTACCCAAAAAGGGGCCATAATTCTGACAACCACCCATTTCCATCAACAAGTCGAGCTCCAAAGAAGCACCAAGGCCACAGAAGCCCTAACCTCTGGCCTAATCCCCCGCTGGTCTACTCCAGGACAAGCCTCTGATTGTGGCTGCCTGTCCTATCTCTAAATTCGTAGCCTGAATCTCACCTTGACCTGTTTAGGGTTTACGGTTTGGGGTAGGCCCCGACAGCTGAGCCCCGCAACTCCTGACCGGTTGAGGCCATGACGCAGGGCATTGTGAACAAGTTCGGCCCGCCCCTTTTCGCACCCGTGTCCAAGGACATGTCGGCCACTCAGATTTTGCCTCAGCTCGGTTTGGGGTTTGTCAGTGGCTGCTGCGGCAAGAGTTCTAATATATATTTGGCAAGCTACAGTTTCAGAATCAGTATTGTCTTTATCATTGTTGGTTTCTTGTATATCTTCACATATCTCTTATTCCTATTATCATATAGTTTCATTGTAGGGCTAGGAAAGGTTATTGCTAATGTGCAAATGAGAGTGTCGGTTTGACACCACCAACCCGGCACAAAAAAAGAAGAGCGTAGAGCACAACAGGACTTGAGGTTTATGGATAGCATGTCCTGGCCTCAAGAGTTGCTGTTCACATTGTGATGGGCCGTAATGGAGTCTGCAAGTAGTGCCTGAACCTCAACCCTTAACCCTCAACCCCAACCCCCCCAAAAAAAACACCGGTTCGTGGTTTGAGGTTGCTGATTCGGGCCGCAGAGGCACCATTGGGTACATCGTCTCTAGAATGACAGTGTGTGCCCATGCGGAAAACGAGTTGCAGATTCCAGCCAGAAGGGCCGCTAGCATAAAAGAACAAAAACACCCAAAGATATTAATTGCAGAATGCCGAATTTTGCCAACCCCGGCAAACCGGAGCTCCACGTCATTAGACTGCAAACAAGATTGCGCCATGCAGATTGACCTTGAGTTTTAGACCGAAGCCCACATCAAGCGCTTGAATTTCTGAACCTACTTAAAGGATCATGGGACTTCGTAACTAGGGTTATAAATAAGGTAGCCATACTTATAACCCCAACTAAGGTACCTATAACCTTACTTACTAAGTCCCATGATCCTCCGAGTTGAAGTCTCAAAGTTCCGCACCCCTATTCCAAGCCAAAAACCAAGCAGGCTACTATAGAGGCCTTAGTAATTGCCTATACCAGGCTTGATGATGTAAATCCTGCATTATCTTAAGGACCCTAAGCTATGGAAAGTATGGTATATTCCCTATTATGGGTAATGCAGGATTTATATCATCAAGCGTTTTTTGGGGGGTTCCTTATTGTAAGTATTGTGTCATGGGCCGCAAAACCCTATTCTACTTATTAAGGCCCCTCTAGTACCTCAACCCTACCCACAAAAGCCTGAATCTGCACTTGGAGGGTCGGGGGACTTAGTAAGTATTTATTTTATAGACTTAGAGTACTTATAAGTCTACTTAATACCTACTTGCTAAATCCCCCGGACCCTCCAAGCACACCCCAGGTGGTTTAGATCCCTTTAAGGAACCCTATATAGATCCCTTTACGGAGCCTTTTAAGGAGCCCTTTAAGTACTTACTAAGTCCCATGATCCTCCAAGCAGGTGGTTTATCGAGGCTGGAGCAGGGGGCAGTCGGGGGCCAGCGATTCGTACCAGGGGCCCGAGGGGAGGGATATTTTTAGGGGCCTAAATTACTACCCATACCATGTTGGCTTCGTTATTCTTAGTATAGTATAATATGCTCCAAACCCCGATTATTATGATTAAGACCCCTATGTTCCTTAAAAAGTGTGCAAAACAAGGCTTCGGGTGTAGGGTTCCGGGTCATGCTGAGAATCAAGGCCTCGTCGGGGTGTAAGGTGGCGGATAATTTTGATGGCGGGTCGTTGTGGTCGTTGTCCTTGGGTCAGGGTTTAGGGTTTAATGTCGGGTCGTTGCGCTTCCCTAAGGGTCCATGTACTCAAACAGTAATATACTTTGGGCTCAATGTACCTGTATCGGGACTACTTTGAGGCCAATGTATTTATACTGTTTGGGTACATGGCCCCTTTGGGCTTGGGAAGAAACTTTGCGCCCCTTGAGTCGTCAAAGTCGGAATTTCGGGGTTAGCTAACAAGCCCTGCAAGCCGAAACCCGGACAAATTCCCGTCGAAGCGCAGTGTGCTTACGACCGGGAGCCTCGAATTAGTTGGCCTTTGAACGTACAAAGATGGGGCCTTATGAGTTAGACTGGGGTAGAATAGTTCTGCCGACCGACCCAATGTTAAGATGATATAGGAGTCTGGATATGATATGTTTAGTATGCTTCTGCATGGATCTATAGGTCGACAGATTCCTAAACCGTCAGATCGATAGACCAATCATGTCTATTGGTAGATCGACAGATTGATAGACAGATAGCAGATAGGCAGATAGACCGACACAATAGAGCCGGATCAATAGGTAGGTGGGTAGATGCATGGACAGCTAGTTAGTTAGTTAGATAGTTAGTTAGTAATTCAGTTAGTCCGTGTTCGTTAGTCAGTTTTAGTTAGTCCCTTGGTTAGTTGGTTAGTCAGTGAGCTAGTCGCCTTTGTCAGTTAGCTTATAGTTAGCTAGTTATTTAGGCAGATAGCTAGATGGACTACATAGGAAGATAGATGGATAGGTAGATAGAACTAGATAGATAAGTAGATAGGCAATTAGATAGATAAGGTAGGTAGGTAGATAGACATGTAGGTGCACAGGCAGATACGTAGATTGCCGGACTGATTGATTGGGTGAGGGATGGGTTGCTTGGTTGGTTGGTTGGTTGGTTGCTTGATTGTTTGATTGAATGCTTGCTTGCTTGATTGATTGATTGATTGATTGTTTGATTGTTTGATTGTTTGATTGTTTGATTGTTTGATTGATTGATTGATTGGTTGATTGGTTGACTGATTGATTTATTAATTTATTGACTGGTTGATTGCTTGCTTGATTGATTGATTGCACGCGCCCCCGGAGTCATAACGGCAGGACCCCTTCGATCTGCGGCACAACTTGTCCTCAAACTGTGGCAAGGCAGCGGTGCAGCGGGCGGGAAATGGCTTAGGGTTTACCCATAGGCCCCAAAGTAGTTCCTTTTTGGGATTACCTTATATAGGATTCTATATATGAACCCCCAAAAGGAACTACTTTGGGGCCTTTAGGTACTTATTGAAGCCCTTAGAGCCCTAAACCCTATAGATCCCTTTAAAGGACCCCTTATATAGATCCCTTCAAAGGAACTACTTTGGGGCCTATGCGTATTGGGTGATTTGCGAGTGAGGCACTTGTACCTTGGCGAGCCTCTCTGCTTCCGCAATTAACGGTTTAGGGTTTTGGGTTTAGGGGTTGCTTCCGACAGGTGGTTCGAGGTCGCGTGCTTGTGGTCGAAGCCCAAATCGTTCCCCAAATCGTTCAAGCGCGAACCGTGATAGACCACAACGCTAGGGATTGAGGAACTGACGTGTTGATAGAGTCATAACCTTTAAGCGAGGCCATCCCCAAAAAGCGAGTACAGCCTGGGGGGGGGGGGGTCTACAGAACACCCTACATCACCATTCTACTGTAACAGCGTGAATTTGCGACAACCGGACAAAGCATAGCGCTGATTTCCCCATCAAGTTCAGTCAAGCCCATCACATACAATAGAATCTTGTAGTACCCATGCAAAACTCGCTTATTACCCCCTTGTAGACCTTGTGTGTGTGTAATGGTTTACAGGGAGCTACAGTTCAGTCAAAGCCCCTAAAGAACCATTCAGGAACCGTTATGGGGGTTTCCGAAAATACGGGACCCCAATATAGTACCCTAAATAGTAGGATCCTTATTATAAGGACCCCAAAATACGGTACCCCTAATTTTCGGAAACCCCCTTAGAGGAACCCATAATCGGAGAAGCCTTTTGATACTTCTCGGGACGGCTTTCAGTGGAAAAGAGAGCTCTGCAGCAAGCGAAGAGAGCGGCCCAAAACATTACCAATAGGATTCTTAGGGGTCCGTATTATGACTGGAATAGTAAAATAGACTCCAAAACCCTATTCTAGTTTTTTAAGACCCTTGTATTAGATGCAGAGGTTGTCAGCTGGGGTTGTCGCGAATTCCTTCAGTTCCCAAGAGCTCCAGTTACCTGAAGAGTAATAGTAGTTTACACCAACCAACCCAGGAACCCGTTATTTACACAACTGGAGCCGTAGGGATTGAGAAGCTCTGCAGGCTCTACACCCTTCTGCCCTCTGGATAACTTCTCGCGGAACTGCAACTTTTCTCGATACAAACGACCCAAAGCAGATGCTGCAGACTCTATCCCCGAAAACAGTAGGGTTCTGGATCCCCAGGTAAACCCCAGATGATCCGCCAAAGAAACTCTTTGAACTCTGCAGCACACAGGAGGGCCGGGCGCGGATCCTGGCGCAGATGGCCGAAGCGCTGAGGTGCCAACAGGGAAGTCTGAAAAGCTTGGTTACTATAGGGGCCTAAATAATTACCAGTACTATTTTGGGGGGTTCCTCATTATAGTTTATAGTATGATGGGCTCCAAAACCCTATTCTAATCATGAATTAAGGCCCCTACATGAAGGCGTTTATGCAGGGTCTAGTGTTGAGGGCTTCGGGCTTGTCTGCAGCTTTGTAAACCCTGCATGGGGCTCCAAACAGCCACAGACTGTACAGTCGATACCCTACCCTATAATGGGCTATATAATGCGTATATAATAGCTATATTAAGCGTATATACCTAGGGGTCCTTATTAAGGATCGTACTAGACGGATGTATCCTTGGGGCCTTCGGGCCTTACGGTAGGATTATTCACTGAGAATTCTGGAGTATTATTTGAGTGCCCGTAAAGCATGCCGTCTATAACGCTCATCCTAAAGTTAAACCCCAGGTCCATATCTAAATCCGAACACATATCACACATCCTAAACCCCAAGTCCTAGGCCCTATGTAGACTATTGCCAGGTAAACCTACTGGGAGGTTCATGGGACTTAGTAAGTACAGCTATAAGTACCTTAACTGGGGTTATAAGTAATTATAAGTATAGTTACCTTGTTTATAACCCTAGTTACTAAGTCCCATGAACCTCCATGTAACCGTAAACCTTAAAACCTAAACCTTGAACCCTAAACCCTTAAACCCCTAAAGCCTAAACCCTAGACCCCTAGCCCGTAAACCTGAAGCCCTAACTGTTACCTCCAAGCTATGAAAACTCCTTCAGGCTCTTGGAGGAGGGCGGCTTGCCGAAGTTTCACGGCTCTGTCCTCAATGGTTGTGGTGCATCGTGTTATGGGGTGGATGGGGTTTAGGGTTTAGGGGTTTAGGGATTAGGGTTAAGGGTTTAGGGTTTAGGGTTTCTGCGGATTCTTGCGGGGATTTTTCTTTGAGATTCGGGGGGGCATGTGATTGGATTGCCAGGGGGCGGGGGGGGTCCAGGTTTTTAGGCTTCACGTCTCAGGCTTCAGCGCTTCGCGTGAAGCATTTGGGGTGCAGGTTGGCGACTGGCAATGGCTTACTATAGTCTGTCTCCATTGTAGTTCCTTCTTGTGGTTACCTGATAGGATCCTAAGCATAAACTTGGTTAAACCAAAATAGACTTGCAATGGATACTATAGGTCCATGCTATAGGTTGTTCTGCTTTGGATTGCCTGTTCAGGGTGTAGGGGTGTGGTGACACCTTTCCGACGAGCTGGCTTTAGTGCGTTGTATTGTTTGGGGGTTTACTTTTACCCCATATAATAGACAGCTGACGGCTCCTCCTTGTGAGACCGAGCCTGCCATTTGGGTTTTATTTCGTGGTTCTCTCTTTTCTGCAACTCCCCATTTGCAATATTTGTGCCTAGAGTTCCCATGGAGCCTTTTTGGAGCCCTATGGCGCTATGAAGCCTTATAACAGGCACTCAACAGCTTCCGAAATAGACATGTTGAAACCTGGGGCAAGGACTTCTGCAGACAAAGAGTCGGACCGACCGCCACTGGTGCGTAGTGTATATGTGGATGTGTATGTATACATATACCTGATATATATATATATATATATATATATACACACACACCTATAGAGAAGATTTAGATACATGAATCTTTGTATCTGTTCTGGCCTATACATAGACATTTCTACTGGTGTGTATTTGCTCAGTTGTACTTGTCTGCAGACATCTACATATGCATTGTCTGCATTAGGTTGCGGCATTGACGGCTGTAAGCGGAAGGATACTAGAGAACCGCAAGCCTTCATCCAGGCATCCGGTCCGACACGACCACCAAGTTCATGCTCAAGTGCCGCATTCACATTGAGAAGGTGGGCAGGGCCAAGCAGGATAAGTGACAAGGAGCTCGGCTTCTGCCGCCGTTGATTTTGTTTCGGAGCCATGAGCAACATAGCTTCCAAAGTGCGAATAGTAATTATGGTATCGCATACCCCCGAACCATATTTTGATCGTTAAAGCCCCTACATGGCTACACTTTCGCGAGGAGAAAGCCGAGACCGTAACGTCAATCCCAGTGACAGATCCTCAACCCCTTAGATCCTCATAGTCCATAAACCCGCAACTGTAGAACACTAGTGCCCTCGTACACTTCCCTAACCCCCAAAGCCTAACTTCCTGATACCCTGCTAACACTTTAGACCCGAAGCCCTACCTGTAGCTCCCAACCGTCCAAAATACCCTGGAGGCTTATACCTTACGGCTTTCTCGGGGGTAGGGTATGAGCTACTAAGATTCCTTATTAATTACAGGGTCCATCCCTTGAAACGGCATAGTAACCCCCTAAACCCTCAACCCTAACCCCAAACCCGAAACCGAAACCCGTTAACAGAACCCGAACCCTAAACATTTAAAGCTCCTGGCACCCCGGGAGCCTTACCACATGAGCAATCTCCTGGCTTTGGTTCACGAGTCAGAAAAGCGAGTTCAACAAAAAGGGTTTCGGGGTTTTGGGCTGTAGGGCCTAGGATTTCATGGCTGTTGGGCTTTACAGGGTTTTAAGGTTTTGGCTTCAGAAAAAAGGAGCTAATGGTGGCATCAGAAAATAGGGTTACCCTATGTAGTGGTCCTCAGCCTGAGAATCAGGATCTGGTGGCTGGGTCCACAATTTCCTGAGACCACCCTTACATTGGCAGAGTGGAACCTTAAATGTTGAACCGTTGAACTTGAAAGCCTGAAGGATTGAACCATGAACGAAAACAAAAGGGATGGGTTAGGGCATCTCGACGACTATCAGACCACCTGTGCGCAGGTATCTTTAGACGACTTTCGCGCCACCCTGGCGCGAAACGTCCGTGAGCCAATGCGGCTGCACTACCCAGCTGCGTGCGGGCCTTGGCGATTCGAGGGCTGCTGAGGGGTTTTTGGTCTTACAAAGGGGGGCATTTAGGGTAACCTTTAGCCTTTTCAGGGCAGTATAGTCGCTCTTATTCCCCTGTAACCAAAAAAGGTGAACCTTTAGTTCCCTATGATACCCGACAAGTAGCTTATAAAGGTTGCCTTGACGATTCGGACAAGGCATTCTTTCAGTGTGCTCATGGGGACATAAGGTCTTCTTTGAGTATCCGCCTGTGCTTATTTGCGCCACGGTTTAGTTGTTAGGGTTTAGGGTTTAGGGTTAGTGGGCCTTAAGGCTTTTTGTCGGGGGTTTCGTTTTGCGGACGCTCGAAGTTGAGTAATTGATGGTTACGGGTTGTGCGGTTGAGGGTTTCGTCCATGATGCTGGTGCGTGTGTTGGTTACCTGAGTTTTGTACCTTATGATGCTGACAACAAGAATAGGTTATCCGAAGAAACAGCCCTACTTGGAGGGGCATGGGACTTAGTAAGTAGGTTCTAAGTAGAGTTATAAGTACCCTAAACGGAGTTACCCCAATCATAACCCCACTTATAAACGACTTACTAAGTCCCCTGCCCCTCCAAGTACATTCCAGTGTCTAGGCAAAGTCAGTAACTCGATAGCCGCGACCCGCTCTCGAACCCCCCAGACCTTCCAAGATCCCTTAATTAAGGAATATACCTTAAATCATATCAGGGATCCTATTATAGTTTAAGGTATATTCCTTAATTAAGGCATTTTGGAAGGTCTGGGCCCAGACCTCGGAACTTCCAAAAAGACAACTGCAGGTTCTTGCTAAGGAGATTAAGTGAAGTCTACCATAATAATAAGGAAACCATATTCGTTATTTACTATAGATCCCTATTGTGGTAAATTGAATCCGTTAACAACTAGGACCCAGAGTAGGCCCTTATTCCCTTTTTTAGGGTTCAGGTTCCCTTATAAGCCCCTTTAAACCAAAAAGGGCATCCTTTTTATGCCTGGGTTACTCTTGGGTCTAGACAAGAACCCAGACAATGCCCCCCCCCCCATCCTTGGGGGTTCCGGCTCTCGCTCAGAACCTTGCCCCTCCTTTCAAGGCCTTGTTCCTGGCATCTCCGATCTCGGAACCTCCAACCTCTGCAACAAAAACTGGTCTGGTTTGAACCTACCCTCAGCAACTTCACACGTCGGAGCCTCCATATCTCCAAACTTCGACGTCAGGATGTTGGGTTCGGCTTAAGAGGCTTTATTGCATGTAGACTCCACATGCTGAGTCGTTTGTATACTTAGAGTCCTACTTTCACGGCCTACTTGAAGGTTCATGAGACTTAGTAACTACAGTTATAAGTACCTTGACTGGGGTTATAACTAGTTATGAGTATAGTTACCTTAACTATAACCGTAATTACTAAGTCCCATGAACCTCTAAGTAGGACAATAAATGTTCAACCGCACCTGCAGGGGCTCGCGCACGCGGGAGGTTGGCAGTCGCACGTTTTTGTTCATGGAGTGCGTTCCCGTGATGTTCAGGGTGCGGGGTGTGGTGTTGAGCTTGGGTTCATTTGTGCGATCAGGCTTTACATATACATACATGACCTATACATGTCTCCATTGTAGTCCCTTCTTGGTGTTACCTTATCGGATCCCAGAATATTGGCCTCAAGCATCATTCATGTTTGGGGCCGTCAGCTTCTCATGCGTTTTCTTCCCAGGGCCCCCCAACTACCCTCTATTGTACCCTAAATACCCAGTATCAAGGGCATAAGCATAAGGGCTCTATAAGGGCCCCCAGGGTCCTGGTTGACACTGTGTTCAAGGCTGACTTCGGGGGCTAAAGGCAGTGAGCACGAAGCTTGAAGGATTTGTTTAGGCAACAAAGCAAAACCCTGCACTTCAAACTCGCATGATTTGCTTGTCATCAGTGTCTGGCTTCAGGATTGGAGAGGCTATGGTTTTGCATATGTGCTGTCTCCAACTTAGATTGAAGTGCATCCTAACTTAGACCTTCTGTTTGGAAAAATAGTCGTTAAGTCATGTCTTAAGTCATGTGTACGAACCCGCTCTTACTATGTATCCTGAGTAGGGTGTTCTTCATCATCGTATCTTGAGTGCGCATGGACCCTTCGGAAGAAGTCTTGGCTGCAGGTCGCAGATGCTTTTCTCATCTTTGAATCGAAGGAGTCACAGAGAAAAGTGTGCGGGGCCCAGTGCAAGGGTTTCAGGTTTAAGAGTCAGGGTGTACGATGAAGGATCTTTCGGGTTTATAGGGTCGTGGGATGTAGGACTTCTTGGAATAATCAAGTTCAGACAATATGGTAGTAGCCCTCCCAGAAACTCAGCCTTTCGGGAGGGAGGGTTTAGACTTATATATGTATAGACACAGGCTTGGAGGGATGATCCGCGACCCGACTTGGCTTGGCCGACAGGAGAGTGCCCCAGCATCCGCGCAGATTGCTGAGCCGGCACGGACCAAGGAGACATCCAAGGCAGGAATTTCAGGGCCTGATTTCATAGTGGAGAATGCGCCGGTGACGTTTCATCCGTCGCCGTATTGGGATGATCTCCCAGAGGATCCTTGCAGCTAGTGCTGAACCCCTCGATCCGGAAGGGACAGAGGAGCACATGGCTTATGTGTGGAAGAAAAGCTCTTTCCAATCTGAAGCATGCAACGATTGGAACAGCTGCTAAGAGGGGCCGGTGGTTCACCACAGAGGCGCTGACTCGCCACATGAGTCTTGTTTCAACTTAGCAACATGCCAATATCCCCGAGTTAATGAAGATAACTAATAGACCTTGAGTCGTATTCGGGGTCTTACTATAAGTGAAGGTATATCTCTTAATCAAGGGATTGGAGTTCCCTAAGCCCTGAACCCCTCTAGATCCTTTAAAGGAACCCTTAGAGGAACCCTTATTGATCCCTTTAGAGGGGTACTATTGATCCCTTAAAAGGAACCCGTAGAGGAAGCCTTATGGATCCCTTTACAGGGGTACTATAGATCCCTTAAAAGAAACCTTCAGAGGAACCCTTATGGATCCCTTTAAAGGGATACTATAGATCCCTTAGAGGAACCCTTAAGGATCCCTATAAAGGGGTACTATAGATCCCTTAAAAGCCCTTAGAGGAACCTTTGTGGATACTTTTAAGGGATACTATAGATCCCTTAAAGGAACCCTTAGAAGAACCCTTCTGGATCCCTTTTAAAGGGATACTATAGATGCCTTAAAGGAACACTTATGGATCCGTTTAAAGGGGTTTTGGAGCCTGCAGGGTCGTGGGACTTGGTAAGTAAGGTTATAAGTACTTTAACTGGGGTTATACGCATATAATTGTAAGTATGCTGACCTTATTTATAACCCTAGTTACTAAGTCCCATGATCCTTTAAGCAGATCCTTTAAGCAGATCCTAAACCCTATAGATCCCTTTAAGGAACCCCTATAGATCCCTTTAAAAGGAGCCTTAAAGGAACCCTAGTTACTAAGTCCCATGATCTTTCAAGTAGAACCCTAAACCCTTAAAGGAACCCTATCATAGAACCCTATAGCACCCTTAAAAGGAACCCCCAAACCCTCTAAAGGAGTCCCATGATCCTTTCAGTACAGGGTGAGGTCTCAACAGAGCTCGTCTCTGGGCTCGGGGGTTGGAGTTTGGGATTCCCACTGTTTAGAGTTTACGTTTTAGGGTTTAGGTTTTAGACTTTAGGGTTTAGGGTTCAGCTTTTAGGGTTTAGGTTTTAGGGTTTAGGTTTTAGGGTTTAGGTTTTAGGGTTTCGGGTTTAGGTTTTAGGGTTTAGGTTTTAGGGTTTAGGGTATAGGGTTTAGGTTCTAGGGTTTAGGGTTAGGGTGCGCTCCACCTCCAGGTCGCCCCACCGTCCGTTTCAAATCTCATTACACCCCTGTCGCCGTAAACTTCTAACGCAGATCGGACCTGGAAGTCCTGGCCCTGAGCAAACCGCATCATCAACGAAAGAATGCCTCCATTCCTACCAAACCCTAAACCCCTCCACCACGAAAGCCTAACCCTTGGGTACTGCCCTCCACTCAGTAAGAGTTGAAGAATATTCATAAGATTGAAATTTTAGGCCCTGAAGAGTAGCCATAATATCGGCTGCTACTGTATGGGGACCGTACCCAACCCAACTCCCAAAACCAAACCGACCAACACACCGAAACTACTTCCGAACCTTCGACCCTACCTTGAGGATCATGGGACTTAGTAAGTAAGGTTATAAGTACCTTAGTTGGGGTTATAAGTAATTATAAGTATGGCTACCTTATTTATAACCCCAATTACTAAGTCCCATGATCCTTTAAGTAGGCCGCAGTCCTACCGCATCAAGCCGTTGAGAGACACCTCTGAGAGTGATTCAATTCAGGGATCCAAATAGTAGGTTTCGTAGCAGTTTAGCCATTAAACAGGGAACTATAATTTTCAGAACCCTTTTACTTGGAGAAGCAGTATTTTAATTGGGATTACAAGCATTTAATTAAAGTGAGCCGCATGATCCCTAAAAACTTCAACCCTTGTCAGATCCCTTCCAGAACCTCCTAAGGGAAGGAACCCTAGTTTCTAAGTTCTATCATCCTCTAAGCCCGAAACCCCTCAACCCCCAAACCCAAAGCCCGAAGCCCCGAAACCTGCCTAAAAAGAGCCCTTCAACTTGCACTTAAAGGAGCCCCCAAACCCGTTTAAAACCCGACATTTTAGCTTTGCTCAACCCTGAACCCAAAGCCCCAAACCCCGAAACCCGTAGACCCTACACCCCTCAAGCCCCAAACCACTTTAGCTTTACTCTCCCGAGTCATGAGCTCAACGAGACGGCTATTGGAGAATGGCAGCTGCGCTTGATGTCTGCCCTGCCTGTTTTTGGGGTGTTGGGGTTTTGGGTGTAGGGTTTGGGGTTTAGGGGCTTAGGGTTTAGGGTTTTGGCGAGGGCTTGGGGTTCAGGGTGTTGGGGCTTGTGGTTGAGGGTGGGCACAAGTATACAGCTTAGCAGCGCCCTCCAAAGCTTGTGCTGCTGAGCGCTGGTGAGCACTGGTAGGGACGGGTGAGCCCTAGTGAGATTTCAGCAGCGCTAGTGAGCGCCAGCTGGTGCTAGTGAGTGCTGGTGAGGCCATGTTAATTTGCGACAGGGCAAAGACGTTTCAAAGATGGGCTCCAATTCAACTATCTTCAAGAGCCCATAGCAGCAAACTCCATTTGCCATCACGGGTCCCTGCAAGTCAAAATAACTCAGTAATTAAACAAACAGAGACAAAAGGAACCCACAAAGGATTTGGAGTACATTCCTTCTGGATGGAGGCTAGTGTCCCCATATGCGATTATTTTGCAATGTTGGCCTGTGTTTCGAAGCACGACAGTAAACCTCAAATCTATGTGGATTTCTCTCGAAGAACTTATTTGTGAGATAAACCGGGTAGGACCACACAGGGCCCGTGCATTCCTAGAGGTCCAGGTTCAAGGCCACTCTGTGAGTTCCTGGTCTGGAACCCCACCAACCTTAAAAACCTACAGTGCTCTGGTAGCTACCTTACAGGATGCTCTAAATTAAAGAAACATGTAACTGAAACCAATTCTATTTATCAGGGGCCGCTAAACCCTAACCCCCCAAACCTAAATCCAAAACCCTAAATCCGTCTAGTACCAGATCGCGTAATGAACCCTATTCTAGTTGTGATTAAGGCCCCTAAACTCTAATGCCCCAAAACCCTAAATCCCAAACAGAAAATTAAACGGCCTATAGATTACAGGCCCCTACAACTTAAACCTTACATCACTCAAGCCTGAAAAGCTTGTATCCTTGTTCTATCCTAACCCTAATCCTTGACCCCTCAAATTGCACCTTACCTCAAAGGAACCCTTCAAGGTACCCTTATAGGAGCCCTTAGAGATACCATTTAAGGAAGGTATCCCTAAATGGGCCCGTATTCGCCCCAAGCCCAAACCCCTAAACCCTCACCCCTAAACCCTAAACCCCTAAACCCTAAACCCCTAACCCCTAAACCCTAAGCACCTAAACCCCTAAAGCCCTAAGCCCAAAGCCCATTTAAAGGGGCCCTTTTTGTTTCAGCGGCGGCCCTGTTTTGGGGGGCCCAGGCCTTGCAGCAGCTGGGCCCTCCAGGATGCCAGAGCTGCCGGCGAGTACCAGGAGTTAAGGGATCTATACGGGTTCCTTTGGAGGAATGTATGGGGGTTCCTTAAGGGTTCCTGTAAAGGAATGTATAGGGGTTCCTTTAAAGGAATGTATAGGGTTCCTTCAAAGGGTTCCTTTGAAGGAATGTATAGGGGCTCCTTTAAAGGGTTCCTTTGGAGGAATCCTTTAAAGGGTGTATAGGGTTCCGTTTAAAGGGTTCCTTTAAAGAAATGTATAGGGGTTCCTGAAGGGTTCCTTTAAAGGAATGTATAGGGTTCCTTAAAAGGGGTTCTTCAAAGGGCCTATAATGGTTACTATAAGGGGTATTATGGGGGTTCAATGTACAGGCCTTTATAATTAGAACGGGGTTCCCTTTAAAGGAGACCTTTAAAGGAATGTATCGGGGTTCCCTTTAAAGGGTTTCTTGAAGGGAATGTATAGGGGTTCCTTCTAAGGGGGTCCTTCAAAGGGGTCTATAGGGCGTCTATGTTAGGGTTCCATAACATAGGCGCCTTAATAGTTAGAAGAGGGTTCCTTTTGAAAGGGGTTTGTAAGGTCTACTACGAGGGCTATTCTGCGGGTTTAGTATCGGGTTCTTAAGAATTAGAATACGGGCTCCTCAAGGGATATCAGGCTAGAACTATAAGAAGGCACCCCCAAAACCCTATTCTGATTATTAAGGCCCCTACATTACTTTAAGAGCTCTTCAAAGGGCCCTTTGAACCAGGACCCTTCAAGTACCCTTTAATAAAGCCCAAATGGCCCTTAATAGTGGGTATTCAGGGTGTATAATTAGAGGGTAATTGGGGGCTCTAAGAAGGGTTTTCAAGGGTTCAGGGTTTAGTGTTTACGGCTCTTCAAAGGGTTCTTGAAAGGGTTCAGGGTTTAGGGCTCTGTAAAAAGCTTTAGGGTTTAGTCTTGCGTGTTCTTCTAGGGTTCTTCAACATGTTCAGGGTTTAGGGCTGTTTAAGGCTAAGGGGTTTGTGGAGAAGGTCTTTGAGTTTGGGGTCTGGGGATAACTTACAGGGTTTTGTAGCATTTCTATGGGGCGTCATCTATTACT